CGCAACCAGCTGGACATCAGTGAGCCTTATAAAGTCTACTTGATCCAGCAGGACGGCGGCTCAGCAACACCAGCAGGTGATGAGGGTCGGCGGGGCGGAGGGGTAGAGAGGGTGTGCTGGGGACCGCAAGGTTGCTGGTTCGAGCCCTGGCTGCTCCATGTCCCATTTTGAAGCGTCCCTGAGCAAGACACCTGACACCTAATTGCTCCCTGGGCAAAAATGTAAAAGCCATGGGTTAAAAATGTAATGTAAGTCGCATTGGATAAAAAAAAAGCGTCAGCTAAATGACCTGTAATGTAATAATAAAGACCGACGCTGCCTCCCTTTTATACGTCGTCTAAAGAGAGAAAAAGGAAAATCAAAGCAAACAAGACAGATAATTGACTTTTTGTGACTATTGTGAATTTTTCACATATAAAGAAAAGCTACTTTTTGTATAAAAGGGCCTTATTTGTTCTCACTTTCGTTCTCACTTGTTGCTTTCTTCTCAGAGTCTCCTGAGACCAAAGACCAGGTGATCCACGCTCTAAGCTCTCCGAGGAGCCCTGCTGCTGTGGACCAAAAGGTGAGTTCCAAACAACATAAGACACAAGAGAACGATTTATTCCAAGTGTCTTCTGGTGAAATTGGCTTGTCTTTTGTTTTTAATTATGTGCTGGGATAATCAGCTTAAACTGGTGTAAACTTGTAAAAGAAAAACAAATCCTACTCACCACTTCCACCCTGTTTTAACCTAATTGTGTTTTCTTTGTTTCGTTGTCGAAAGGAATCATTTCACAGAACTAAAGAAGAAGTAGAACCATTGGCGGGTAAGTCCCCTCAAACACAAACCGATCCTATTCTTTACAAAGCTTATGGAGGATCAAAGCACAAGAAAGCAAGACAAGACAAGAAAGTCATCAAAGTCATCAAAGGGTCAATACCTCCACGAGCCAATAAAAAGTGGTGATTCATTATTGACAACTAGGGCAACATGTTGCTGCAACAATACAATGGATGGAAAGGAGTGTGTGCAAACTCACACGGCTGCACACACTTTAGTATGTGAACCGTTCAGCTCTCTTGGTCTTGGTCTGGATCCGTACATAAGCAGTACACGATGTCCCATTTCTCCAGTGGGAATCCCTGCCTCTGCGGAGCGCCGGCGGACTCGAGTTTGTTCAAGGTGCTCTTTGGATGAGGATGCATGTTGACAGGAAAATAAGGAGAAAACACCAACAGAAGACAAACAGTGTCTGATCGAACAATGTCTCTGCTCTGCTTCAGATGACCTGATGAGGGAGCACATGTATTGTGAGCTCACAGGGGGGAGAACTCTAAATCAGAGCCCCGCTAGAACAACCTTCCTCAGCCCCGCCTTCACTGTATCAGGTAAAAAACAAAAACAAACTCGACACGCCGCTGGCTTTTTGCGCCGTGTGACCCTCGAACACGGGCCGCATTTTTGTGTGTGCAGACTTTCGCATGCAGGTGACGTTGTTGTACCAGGGCCAGCGGGTGATGAAGGTGACCACCAGCAGCCCGGACGGCTGCTTCATCCTGCAGGGCGGCGTCCCCGTGGGAAACGAGCGGATCTACGGGCCCTGCACCGCCCAGCAGCTCTGCTTCCCCTCGCCGGGCTCCATGGCGCTGCCCTCGTGGATGGCCGAGGCGATGAACCGCCTCCTGTGTCACCTGGAGAGGGGCGTGCTGTTGTGGGTGGCCCCGGACGGGGTGTTCATCAAGCGCTTCTGCCAAGGCAGGGTGTACTGGAGCGGCCCCATGGCCCGACACGCCGACCGGCCCAACAAGCTGGAGCGAGAAAAGACCTTCAAACTGCTCGACGTGCCGGCGTTCCTGAACGGTAAGGGCGACGAGTGTCGGCCACGTCGAAGTGCTTTGAACTCATCGACCAGTCGGCCGTTCGAATCTAGCTGGAACGAAATAGGATTCACTCAAAGAGCGGCAGATTGTCTGGGAAACTTTATCTCTCACATTATTGAAACAAACAAAGATGGAATATGTCCGTATGATCGAATGATGATATTCCAATATTAAATGTTTGTGTTCAGATCTCCGGGGGTGTTTACAAGGGAAGGGACCCGCGCCTTCCTATGAGATCGAGCTCTGCTTCGGAGAGGAGTACCCAGACCCCAACGTGCCTAAAAGCAGGAAGCTGATCATGGCCAAGGTGGACATTTTCCATTTTTTCCCTTTACCTTCAAAGCATTTGTGCAGATTTTGGCGGTAGATGACAAGAAATGCTGACATGGATTCAAAATACTGTTGAAAGCTGCCTCAAGAGTTTCTGTTTAATCTCGTCAGACTATATTCAACTTTCTGAAACCTAGTTGCTCTTCATCGGGGTTAGATGTTTCTTACTTTCTGTCTTACTTTTCTTTGCTGTTGAGAGATACCGATCTGATACTAATAGCTGGATAAGATTATTTCAAAAGATCGGTAACCCGTAATTTTATATCTATATTCATCTTTGTTTTGTTTTACAAATTCAAGAAACCAATATTTAAGATAAGGCTGGCATTGATCTACACATTGAAGACTGGTTATTCTAATCAGTTTGGCATTAAGTTTATTCATCTGTATTAGTAGGGCGGCACGGTGGCGTGGTGGTTAGCACTGTCGCCTCACAGCAAGAAAGTCCTGGGTTCGATTCCGCCCAGTGGCCTTTCTGTGTGGAGTCTGCATGTTCTCCCCGTGTCTGCGTGGGTTCTCTCCGGGTTCTCCGGCTTCCTCCCACAGTCCAAAGACATGTGCTGGGGATCAGGTTAATTGGGGACTTTAAATTGCCCGTGAATGTGAGTGTGAATGGTTGTGTGTCTCTGTGTAGCCCTGCGATTGGCTGGCGACCAATCCAGGATGTACCCTGTCTATTGCCCGAAGTTGGCTGGGATGGACTCCAGCCCCCCCGCGACCCTGTGTGCAGGATAAGCGGTTTGACAATGGATGGATGGATCTGTATTAGTAGAAAGTCATAGTACAGGTAGCGAATGGAAGGGAAAGAGTGGGATCAATGTACCCCCATCTTTTGTGCAATAATCCAGTCGGGTAACTTCCATTCCAATGGGAGTTCTCCCTGTTGGTGTGAATGAAAGCTGTAGTACTTGTAGTACCCCGGCAGAGGTCCTCGTACTCACACTGACGTTCTACCACGCTGTGTCCTGCTGGCCAGGTGGTGCCCTTGTTTGCGGTGGAGCTGCTGGAGAGGTTCAACTACTGAGAGATGGAGAAGAATCGGACGATTCTCACCCCCAACGCAGGGGGTGAGAGGGGTAAAAGATGTAGCACTGGGCCAGCTTCCCTGCACCTGGGCTGCCATGGACAATATACAAGCGGATTTACTGGAGTTAATTCCTCCTTCACGAGGGGACAAGAGCTGAGCAAACAATACGGAGTATGATCAGCGGAAATACATAAGCATGAAGAAACAATGTCAGTGTAGACCTGTTTACAATATATAAACAGATTTCTTTTGTACATGAAATTGCCTTTTCTCTACTTGTATTGAAGTATTCCTAAACCCAATAAAACATGCCGAAAAATCGGATCGAAGAGCTTCATGCTTGGTGGGTGTATCGCTGAGTAGCCCGTGGGGGGGGGCCTTGAACTTTGTTCCAATTTGGACACGTTCAATTTTAACAAGCCAGATTATGCTGGTCTCCTAAATGGGATACTTCTATGTAGTACAAAACACTGCAAATCTTGTGCCCATTCACTCATTTCACTTCATTCCAAAATATATTTGATTTACAGGAGTTTGTGATACAGGAGTTTAATTTGTGATAAATGAAGACCTGCTAAACTTGACATTATCACGAAATGGGAATCTTTTCATTCTCTGCACTCTTTTTGGGCTTCATCTGCCTGTTTATTCATTTGATCCTTGTTTATTTAATGCAGATTTTAGGCTTCATATGCTTCTATCGTAATCGAGCCAGGCTGTATTTCACCAGTGTGAATGTGAGTAAACTGCTACTTGTGCGTTTTCGCTTGCCATTTCACACCAACTAACAACTGTAACGCCATAACTGCACCAACCCAAAAAATCATTTTCCAACAGGAAATGTTTGACGTGTGAGTTTTTTATTAAATAAAACTATAATCCAATAATAGTAGTTAATAGTCTAATAGTCTATTAACACCATTCAGTGAATAGTGAAATGTGCTTTATGGGCACAATGTGGCTTTCATTTCTAATATAATAATAATAATATAATGACAATGAATTATGTTTTATTTGTTGTATTTTGCAAATCACATATGAATCTGACATTTTAAACGTAGTAATGTGAAGTAATGTGTACTTCTAAAGTAGAGGTATATGCTAAGTGAATAGTACTTTATAGATAATAAGTTCACACATCAAATTAAATCTATTAAAGCTGTTTTTCCTTTATTTCTAGCGAACATCATAACAGATTCACAATTTTTTAAAAATATACACTTTTGTAGCTATAACATTTAAAAAGAAAAATCAACAAGTAAAGTTTTCTTTTTGAAAATAAAATACAAAAAGAAAAACACAAAACTAAAGTGAGATTGTGTGCTGAATCAGAGGAGATACCCGTATCTGAGTTTAAAATACTTTCATCATTTTCCCTGCCTTCAAACAAATACAGTACGTAAAAAATGAGACGGGAACAGAAGCGTGCAGTACACGGGGGTCAAGAGTATTCACAAAGCATCATGTTCCAACGTGTTATTAGCACCATTACTCCTCAGCCACGCTGACTTTTTACTCTTTCCATCATCCAGTTTTTAATGGAAAAACACCATGAGTGTCGAGGTGATGTGGCACAGACCCGTCTTGTGTGTGGGAGGGAGGTTTGGGGGGGATTGTCTGTTACGCAGTTTTCATTAGTGTTCTCCCTTTCTCAGAGATAATGTTAAGAACATATTGGAGGCTAATGCCTTGACGAACAATCAATTGTTTCAAGTGACTCCCAGCAATGAGAATAATAAAAAAAAAAGGCGAAGAGTTGCTTGTACATTCACCTTGCCCGCTCGGAGCGACGTGTCGATTTCGGCTCAGAAGCAAGAAAAGAAAAACAAAAAATGCATTGCGAAACTGACAGAGATTGCATTAAATCGGTTTAGCATATTTACTGTATATAACATCTGTAATGTAATATATATATATAGTCAACTTTTGTTCATACATTTCTGCGCTTCTTCAATAGCGTTTACTCATAACACTGATTGAAAATCAATACCCTGCAGAAAACACTGTCAGTAAGTAGGTGGGTGGGACAACCATTACAAAAACAGAGTGACCACAGACAAGTGCTTGATTGTCTCACTAAATGTCTTCGGTGTGTCTGTGAGGAGCCATCTCAAGATCCTTCAGCGGCTGCTCCTCTTAGGGCTGCTCTAAGTAAAGGAAAGGAAAGGAAGGGAAGGGGAAGGAAAGGAGGATACAACTAGGACCAGACTAGGATGGACAAGGTTAATATTTTGGGCAGCAGTGTGGACACCCGTAACTTGCGTTTTCTATAGTTTTTTTTTATTCCTTCCCTGCAGCCCTACCTTGAGGTCTCCTCGTTGTTTGTCTTGGTGGGTGCACCAGAGACAACAAAGGTGTGTATGTGCTCGCGTGTGTTTGTGCGTGCGTAAATTTTCATGTTTGCGAATGCATTTCCAAGACTCTACTGCCGCTTCGTTAGCTTGGAGCCATGAGGTAAATCCAGGAGGCTTTCACCAGTTCCGGTTGAGTGAAAGGTATCCGGGGCAGACCAGCGCCGTTTGCGTGGACGCGGCTGCTCCCGGGCGGGAGGTTCTACGGCACGCTGAGGAGCCGGCACGGTAGGAGGTGGGTGGTGAGGAAGAGGGGGAGGAGGAGGTGGAGGCGGCATCTCCTCCTTGTGCGAGCTACCGGATTGTCCTGCAGCCCTGGAGGGGTGGAGTTGCGCTCGATGGGCCCTTGAGCCGGTGCGCGTGTGTGTCCGGTGGGTTTGGGTGGGGGTTGCAGAGGGTGTGGGGGTGAGAGCCAGGCAGACATCCCCCTCAATGAGCTGGCGGCAGGTCAGACCGTACAGCTGAGTGGTTTTCTGGGGGCAGCAAGAAGACCAGCCCCGGTCTTGCACAAAGAACGGATACTCCACCAAGACCTTCAGTAACTCCTAAACAAAACCACAACGATGTTACACACTCAACCCAGAGGTCTCATGAATGACAATTATCATCACCACAATCTGACTCTAGTGTGACCGATTCGCTTTAACACTTGTCTATATCATGTAGGTATTAATTGAATTATGTCTGATTGTATGATAATGTAGATATCTGTCATTCAAGTTACTCAAATATCGAGAGAGAAAGCTGACCTGAGTGTTGCGGTCTGTGAGGTGGACCTGCAGGTGGCTGAAGCCTTGTGCACCACTGGGGGAAATCAGCAGCACGGTGCAGGTGCTGAGGTGGAACTCTGGGGAGGTATCTGCGCTCCTCAGGAAGTCCTCGGTCCGCAGCTCCTCCACCCGCTTCAATCGACCGCTGGCCAACTCGATTAGAGAACCTTTGGTGAAGTGAGGTAGGAGCGCCGAGGGAGATGGCTGAAGGGCCGGCGGTGAGGTGTGAAGATGGGAAGGAGATAGCTCCCTCCCTCTGTCTCTTTCTCTGTCCCGTCGTCTCTCGCGTTCAATGTCTCTTTCTTGGTCTTTGTCGTGTCGTAGGTGCTTCTCTTTGTCCTTACCTCTGAATCTTTCTCTGTCCATTTCTTGGTCTCTGTCCCGGTCTCTCTGCGACCTGTCATGGTTGTTAGGTAGGCCCAGGGGGGATTGGGGTGAGTTCCTTAAATTGTGCTGCCTGAGTCCGGGCTCCCTGTGCAGATTGTACAGAGCTGTTCCTGAGGGGCTGTAGAGCGGGTAGGGCTGGACCTGAGGGCAGGGTTGGAACACCGGCCCCAAGGAGTAGTAGATCTGCGCTTCAGCTGGTGTGACCCCGAGGGTGTCCAACAGACCCCCTCTACTTGCCCGGGAGACAGGCCCGAGAGGATGGGGACTGTTGGAAAGTAAGCTGGTCTTTACCATACCCTGCAAATGTCTGTCCTGCAGTGAGGAATGTGGCTCAGAGCCTTCCTGAGCTTGAGAGTCTGACAAAAATGGCCCTCCAGTATAGACACGGGATGTTAGATCCTCCTGCGGTCTTCGTCCACCGTTAGTATGGGAGCTGTGCGCACTGGTTCTGCTGCTGTCGTTCCCATAGTCTCCTGTGAGCAGAGGCCTAGAGGTCGAGGCAGTCCTGCTGCCGGGCCCATCTAGGCCGTTGGGCCTCTTGCCTAGGTTTCTGTGTCGGGGCTCAACAAAGCTTGGATCTTGAGGGTAGAGAGAGTGGTGGCTGTACAAGTACGATGGGGAGATGAGAGAGGAGCTGTTGTCCCGCCGGCCGCTGTTATTGTAGGACCATATCTCTTGAGAATCGGCCGGGAAGGGAGTCTTGAAGGACGAAGTGGAGGAGGAAGATGGGGAAGGTGGCAAGAGGGATCCTTCCCCTCTAAGCCACCTAGAGTGGTGGTGGGGTGAAGAGAGACGATCATCTCTCCAGGGGGAAGACCCTGAGCCCCTCCTCTCGCCAACCTGCCCTGGGAAAAGCGGGAGAGAGACTGAGGGGGAGTAGCCCAGGTGCCATGGGAGGGGCAGGGGGAAACCTGGCGCTGGAGCAGGAAGGGGTGGAGGAGTATGGAGGAGATGGGGGTTAGGGTGAGGCAGAACTCGGTCACTAGCCTCCCTGCCCCCCTCAACTGCTCCTCCGCTGGACCGACTCCGGAGCGGCACGGGGGGTTTGAACTCGTCCAGAGGGATGTGGTGTCCTACCGATCCTTGCCGAGACTCCCTCTTCTTGGGAGGGAGGCACTCTTTGCCGCGGTCGGGGCTGGGATTCATGGGTGGGCTCCAGCGACACTGGGGGGCCCCCTGTGTGTGGGTTTAGGCTAGGTCACATGGGCCTCACGGGAGAACGAGGGGCACAGGCAGAGGGGAAGGCTGCGACACAGCATCACTGTCCGATCACTGTTGAGTCCGTTGTGCTGAACCACAACTCACCTGGCGAACAGAAGAAAGGGCGGGAACAGGAGAAAGAGTGATTGAGTATGGACGTAGAAAAATGGACAGTCGATCAGGTCCTGGCTTCAGCTGTAGATAAGATTTAGCTGTCAATCCGACATTCAGCTGCATTAGACAGATGGCCAGAAAACAGCCAGTTACTCCGTCGTACGCAGTACTTTAAAAAGGTTCCTAACGCTGAAGGCTGGCACTAGGTAGTCATTGCCTTCTGTGCACTGTGGTTGGACTGAAACTACCCGACTTACTCGTTTCATTCAAACACATCACTCCCACATGTGGACTAAAAATATATTTTGCAGCCAATGAAGTTCAGAGGCAGTGCACAGACACACACACACACACACACACACACACACACACACACACACACACACACACTCTCACAAACACTCAGGAGAGTTTTCATCTCTGACTCTCGGGATGATGAGAATATGTAGATATGTTTCTGTACCACTTTCATGAACCACCCCCACGACACCCCCGGGTGTTCTCCGTATATTCTATACGAGCTTACTACTAGCGGCCCCCCACCCTTTCTCTTTCAGACACACGCGGACACGGACGGCAGCAGACACACAAACACTCCCTCAGGCGGCTGTACTTACTCCCCCAATGAAAGGCAAAGCTGGTCACCACCCACTCAAAAGCTGACAGAGACACTGTTGATATTACCACCAGTTGTTGTGGATACAGGATATGTGTCTTTGCATAATAATTATGTGTCACAGCATGGGTGTGTGGAAATGTGTGTGATTGTCTGTGTGTGCGCATCTATGTGTGGCATGTTTTGTGTGCGTGTGTAATTGTTCTTTTTCTCCCCGCGAGAAGTGCGTGTGAATGTGTTTATTTGTTTAGGTCTCCGCGTGTGTTTGTGTTCGAGTCCTTAAATGTGTCAGTGATTTCGCAGTCTTTTTTTCACTCGGTGAGAAGTGCGGGGGTGCTCCACTTATTCTTTCCCAAACGTTTTAAATGAGCTCTTTTGGAGCGACGTTTTGAGGAGCCGCCAGCGCAGCTGTTTCCACCACCACCACCACCAACACCACCACCATCACCACTGTTAGGGATTTAAGCCAGAAGTGCACCCCTAGTCAGGGAATTATAGTACGTGTAATAATGTTTAGTGTTAGAATTATAGTTTGTGTGATGTTAGATATTAGTTATTACATTAACATGTTAGATGAAGTGAATGCAATTACAATCAAACACAATTCATAGTCATTTAAATCATATAAACACTGTACACATTAACATTCTGTCACAATGTGATGTTAAAACCTGGGGACGGATGCCAATTGCCGTTCTTTATGGATTTCTCCCAATTTTATCCCCAAAAAGGGTTTTTTGGGAGTTTTTTCTCCTGTCAGGTAATAAATGAACAACTTATTGCAAGGCAGCCGACTGAGGCAAATGTCTTGAGAATTGAACCACATGAACTGTCTTAGATCTTAGGATGAAGTGTGATGAACGGTGATCATTAATGATGTGTTGTAATGAAAGTGTACTAGTTATAAGATGAAGACTTAAACGATGTATGCTTTGTTAAATTCACTCATTGAGGCATAAAGCCAACTGTATCTACATTGAGTGCATTGGAATGTGAGGGACAGATGGACAGAGAGGTTTCAGGTTACAGCTGCAGCTTCACACCTCGACGTGGAAGGGACAATGGAGGAGGTGACCCTTTGGAGAAGAGGCCAATGACATTCAAATGCACCAAAGAAGACACACCTCAAGAGTTTTCAAAGGACCATGGCGGGGAAAAGACTGTTAGAACTTCTCCTGCAGCCGCGTTGATAAGTCACTTCAGACTTGCTCAGAGGATTCTCTATTTCGCGAAATATTCCACTGTTCGCTTAGTATTTCACTTTGTAATTGTAATCCCTATTACGTTGTTCAGTTATTAAATAACTTTTGATTTTTGAATTTAAACGAATTGACTCATTCGTGTCCTCGTTTCCGGCCGGGACGAGAACAGAGGATTGAGTCCTCCCTCGAGAGCTTCCGAAACCTTAACACCACCACCACCACCATCTCCTCCTCCGCCGCCACCGCTCCTGCGACTGCTACGACACCACAGCGCCATGCTGCCACTCTGCCCCGCACTCACCCGCAAGTCTGTCTCGACAGCCTACCAACTCCCTGCCGTCTCACCATCCGCCGCGCTGTCGCCATGGCAACTGTGTCCCCACACACACACACACACACACACACACACGCACACACAGCCACTCTGTTGGAGAGGTTAGGTGGGGATACTCCATGGAGAGGCGGGTAAACTGTTGCTCATCAAGTGTCTTGTTCCAAAAACAGAATAAGTGTCGGAGTGGAGCAAGCTGTTAGTGCATCTGAGTGGAAAACTGCAAACTGGGTGATGAGAGGAGGGGAATCAATTGTCCCAGACGATCACATGGACGTGTGGTGAAGGAGAACGTGGGAGATGTTTGTGATGGACGAAAAACAAACAAACGGCTGTTGTTGTGATGTAAAACCGTATCAAGTCTGATTTAATTGATGTCTTTTCAGCTGAGCTGAAAGATAACGCGGCCTTACGTGGGCTGAAAACAACCGTTGACCTCCGGGGTTCAGCAGAAATTGCTACGCTCGAGATGAAATGCCCTCGGACGGCATCAACAAGCGGAAATCATTCCCGTCACAACCCATACATCATTTTTCCATCAGTATTTATCCAAGAATAATCAGATTTTCATCAATGAATTTTGATGTATGATCTTATTATTCTGTGACAACCGGATAATATCATAAGCGGATAACGTCAGTGCCTGCTGGACTAAATAGAAAAGAAAAAGACAATCTAAAATGTAGTTATATTAATAAAAATACAGGCACTAAGATAATCCACCAAATATCAGAATAATCAAAAGCTCTTCATAACACCTCCACTCTGCTTTGGCTGCTCGCTAACTTGTCGAGAAATCTAATTTCTCACAACAAATATCAAGTTTCGGTATTTGTCCTCAAATGACTCCGACACCCTCATTATGTCAACAGCCCGTATGAAAAAGCCTGTCAAGAAAGACCTAATATAAACGTGCCAAAAAAAAAAATAGCAGAAAACAAAGAACACAATTGTGCGTGTGGAGGAGTTTGCAGAGAAGTGTCGTGGAAAAGAATCCTCCTACACTGTGCAGACGTCTTCAGCTGGAGCTACAGTGCATTTAAATGTATAAAATCAGTCTCAGACATATTTATATTCCACCCTCCTTCCAAGGAAGTTCCCATCAGGACATTTGATTCATGTAATAAAGTAGTTATGACCTAAGTGCAGTATATCTTATGTATAATATTACATATTCTTTGTTTGGCTTAAAACTGGTTTTAGCAACAACAACAAAAAGGTTTGCTTTGCATTGCAAAGTAAAAAGCTTAAATTCTTCAACTTTTTCGGACATCCGTCTGCACCGCGCCGGCTCATCCCGCCTTTTCTTTACATGCATTTCTCGGGAACTTTCAAATGCGCCACATACGCACGACTGCAAAGCAACACCAAAAAAAAGCAGAATTGCATTGTAATTTTCTTCCTGGTTTGCTATCAAACAAAACATCGACGGACAGCTTAGAGTTGGTGTCCACAAAGGAAAAGCAGCTAATGATCACTTGTTTTAATGCAAAAGAGCAGTTACAGAAAGGTGGCAGCTCGTTTCTGCAGCGTGTCGCTGTGAAGGAATTTCAAGACTGACCTTCGTGCGGGCTGTGCAGACCTGCTCCCAGTCCTGGCATTCATTCATATTCCAGTCCTCCCAGCGGGTCAACCCACTCCTCAGCTCCTCACTGTGCTACGCTGCTCCTCAACAGCGCTGCCACAAGTCACAACACCCGGCGAAATCTGCAGCCTCCGGCTACATGCTGCCTCTGATCTCTGCATGCATGAAATAACACCAGCGAGCCTCACAAACCGAGGGAAAGAACTGAGAGGCTGCTATCGGTCGTGTATGTGACTGACTGAACTGTGTGTGTGTGTGTGTGTGTGTGTGTGTGTGTGCAAAGGGCTGAGGAAATGAGTAATATCTAGCAGCGAGAAAGATGTCTGCTACGCAGAGCAACACAGGCAGACCAGTTGCTGCTGCCGCCCACTTGCTTTAATCACTGTGAGGGATACAAACGCACACACACACACACACATTTCACACGCAAAATGTACACATAGAAACAGTCAATGATGCAGCACGTACAGATTATATACTGGCTGTATAAATGGACTATATGCTGCCTTTGTGCTGTCTGAAAGGTTTGCTTTGACCTGTTCAATTCAAGAAACAAGTGGATGAATCAACAGGTTGTTTATCTGTGTTTGTGAAGACGTGTTGGCACATAAAACAGAGGGAGGGATTGAGCCACGAGGCTCATCATCCTACACACACTCTCAGACTTTGGCTGCCTGTGACTCAAAACCAAACCTCACATCCATCCAGCGCACACTCACACGCGCACGCAAACTTCTTGTCATCCATCCGTTAGTTTCGTCTGAGTTTGCGTCCTTTGTTCTCATCAAAGCCCTTCGTGACGAACCTGTGCTGCTAAAAGAGCTTTTGTGAATTAATTCGAGTTCACTTCACATTCCCGCGCACACGGAAAACACACACTCACGCGGGCGCGTGGCGCGGCGGGAGTGCTCTGAATGATTAGCCTGGGTGATTCAGCCGGTGTGAGTGGAGTGCGTCGGCAGGCTCCTCCGCGGCTCGTTGGGGCCCGGATCGGTGAGAGCGGAGCGGCTGAGCTCATTCACGGCAAGAAACCAGACACCCGTCGCTTTAGGAAAGCAATAGCACACAACAAACGACACGAAGCTGGAAAGGCAACGCCGTCACCCCCGCCGGCAAAGGAACAAGGCCCCACCTCGCTTCTCAGAAACGCAATAAATAAAAAGGAAACGCAAATTGGAGCTCGGGGAGCCATAAGATTTAATGAAGCAATTTAGTCATTACTGGTGGTGAATTGTAAGGAGGAATATTCCTTTCTTTTTTCTATGAGCAATTCATAAAACACAACCTTGCGAACACAGAAAAAACAGAGCAGGGTGCTCGTGTCCAACAGCGTTTGGCAACTGGGAGGTTGACCTTGTCTGACTTCTCAGACCTCAATAGAGGAGCAGAGAGCTCATCAGGGCTGGAATGAACGCAGACGCATCAGCTCGAAGGCCGCGTGGAAACGTTCTGGGTGAGGTGACAATCGCCCAGATAGTCTCCTGTGACATTTAGGAGAAGGTAACTTTTGTTTGAAGTGAATGCTGTTTGTAAATGCTGTGCACCGAGGTTGTGTGGGCACAAGCGCTGCGTGTCTGCTGTGGCATTCGCTGTGTCTGTGTGGGTTTATTACAAGTATCATAATTAGAGAGTACCGACTCCTTTGGTTTATAGTTTTGGATTGTTTTGCGTTTAGATTAAACCATAGTGGGAGATTTTTTATAGTTAAGATCCACAATGTGATGCTGAATGGAAATTTAATCTATTTTATTTTTGTTAATAGAAGTAAGAACAATTTTAATTGTTAGGCTATGAATAAATGACAAAATAAAACATCATAAATACTTTAAGAAAAAACCTAATCTGTACATAAATGTATTAATTTATTTGCAATGAAAAGAAACAAAAGGCCAAACAATTAAAAAAGCTGGTTTACAAACAACATATTTAAGGCTGTTTTTTTCAGTTATTTATTTTAGATCAAACAGTCTTGATAATTAATTTCAAAGTTGGCAGCATCAAAAAATGAAGTTGGCACTATAACATGAGTATATTTAGCCTAATACTCTAAGTAGGTTGGAAGTTCAAATTTAAATTTCCAAAACTCGGCCATACAAGATAAAAAAAAAAAAAAGAAATCTAACCAATATATTCAAATATATAGTGACAAGTGAGAAATCATACTCGGTTTATTAATTATACATATTTTTATTATATTCTGTATATAAATATTCATATATATAAGTACGTTTCTTGAATAGGAAATTATAGTGTAGTAAAACAAATAGAAAAATCATCCTTTAGTGGCAATATCAATTATATCAATATATCATTTTGCTTAAACTATATCAGGGTTCAATATACATTTCAATACAATACAGTCATAGTGAGATGACTATATGTACAGATACAGAAATGACTGTTGTGCTACTTATGCACACACGCTTTAAGATTTAGCGTACTGAACCAACGCAGAGATCAACACGAGCAAAGAAATCAGCACAGCCGATACACAGTCCTACTGTGCTGTCAATCACAACACACTTCTTCTCTCTCTGTGACACACACACACACACACACACACACAGGGTCGGGCCTAGACAAGAAAGGTCAGATGAGTCACCTAGCAGACCAAAGCGTTGGAAGTGTCAAGTAGCAAAAATGGGTCAAAGTTGTCTTCAGGTTAAGTTCGACATTGTCTCCTCAGCAGATTTTATTCAAACATGCTCCTTAACCTAAATGTTTAACCTTCTTAACTTCTGCTCCTTTCATTGCTGTTAAAACACATTTAACTCAATTTTTTTTCTTCCTTCCCACGTATTGCGTGGCCTCGTATGGGACGTCTGATCACGTTTCAGGCTGAGCTGGAAATCTATGACGGACGCCTGATGCAGCAGAAATTTGTTGCTGAATGTAACAGATCCGAAAACAGGGGGTCGAGGGGGCCGGTGGGGGGTTTGGTTGGTAGAGGACACAGATAGATAGTTGCAGTGGCGAGGGGAGGAGGGGAGTACTACTAGCCGTGTGTGCTGGCTTACTCCACAAGGAGCCCGGCTAAGCCGGTAAGAGGACAGGGCGATACGGGCGATGGCTTATTGGGCAAAGCGCCAGGTCGCCCCCCCCTCCCCCACCCCCCGGGGGGGCCCCGGCCCATTCTTCAACGGGATGAGCCAGCAGCTCTGCACGCAAACGGCCGACCTCACAGTCACTCTCCCCACAAATGTGCTCAGTCATGAAAAGACGAGCTCACTTTGTCTTTTGTCAAAGGATACAAGAGCAACCACGTGTGTGTGTGTGTGTGTGTGTGTGTGTTCAGAGTAGCAAAAATAAACAGAGTTCACTGTCCCGGTGTCGTTGCTACACATTGCAAGAACAGAGCCGATTGGAGGAGAGAGGTACAGAATGAGTGATGCAGTGAGAGGATGACGGCTGTAATGTATTGCCGGGTTAATCCCCGTGAATCCCAACTGGTACGGGCTAAGGAAGGCTTAGTATAGTTCTGGGAGGAAATCCCCCTGTGAAGTGGTACAGGCCGTTAGCCCCTTGGGTATAAATAGGGCAGCTATGGCTCCTTAAGCTGGCTTTTACGCAATATCAGTTAAAAATATGACTCGGCTAATTGCACGCAGGTCAGAAGAAGAAGAAAACCCCTCCTCTTCCCCTGACCAGACTGCTGCTGCAGTGTGTCTCTTCTTCCTCACATGCAAACACTGCACGCAGAGGTCAGCCGGGAACAAGTGGAAACAGGTAGTCTGCAAATCTCGTGGGTGACATTTACTAAGGCGGGTGCTTGTTGTTGTCATTCATTGACATTTAAGTGTCTACTGATGAGGAGTTTCATTTTTGCTCTTTTCCCCTGTCTCAATCTCTTCTGCGGCGTTTGCACTGGCTACACCTTCAAACCACAAAGAGATGGCTGGGGTTTCAATTTGTAGGCATCCAATGCACCAAAAAGTGAAGTAAAAAAAGAAAAAAAAAAAAAAAAAGCACGGTCCCTCTCGCTAGTTCGTGACAGGATGAGCGCACAAGCGCTTGATGCGAGTAGTACTCTCACGCTATGGGATCAGTGGCTTAAAATTGGGGGGAGAGGGAACAGGAGAGAGAGAGAGAGAGAGAGAGAAGTTCAATGTGGGTAGAGATGTAAAAGACGAGTGGGCCGGGGCGGGGTGGGTTTACTTTTCATCAAAAACATTCACTGTTTTCGGCAACGTCCCCGCGGCGACTGACAGTCGAGCTGGAGCGTTCTGTCGGTTCTCCAGTTTAACAGCAGCGTGTCAGCGGGCTTTATGCTCGCACGCGGCGGTGACTCCTCCACCGAGAGGGCACGGCCAGGTCTCTCGTCTGAAGCTGCAGGGACGATCCTTTTCAGCGGCACTGTCTAGACCGGCTGCGTAGATGCTGTCTGGATCATCTTTTTCACCGCCGGCCTTCAAGGCAACGTTGCTTCACACTGCCATTATTGCTACTGCTCCCCTGCACTTGTTTACTCAGCGCGCGGCCTGTGCTGTTTGTTGTACAGGCTGCTGCGAACGATATTGAAATAGGATTGAGTGGGTTTAGCGCTTGGTTTCGAAATGAAATCCGGGGAGAGTCCCACTTGAGAGATAACCTTTATCGAGCTGCTGTTTAATAGTCTCTGCTAATATATACACCCCCTGAAAAGAAGTCAAATTCAATTAGAGAAAGATGGTTTGAGTGACTTTAACGCAGCAAAAGATTACAAAAGCAGGAGCAAGGGCAGGGAAGGTAATACGCGCCCTTAGGACATGGCTTTCAGGACAGTATTGATGCTGTAGGCTACAGGATGTCTCAGATGTTACACTTTCTCTGCAGGGACACCAAAGCCGATACTTTGCAATCTGCCGTGTCGTGTCTGTGCATGCCGGGTCCGTCCGTACGAGGGAGCAGGTTGCCTGATCCGCTGCGATCCGGCAGAACAACTGTGGGTGTTAAGTGGTGGGTGGCAGGGTAGAAAGGTTCTTGACCCCTGTTGTAGATGAAGTGTGGAGGAGGAGGAGAGCACACTGGCTTGATCGTACACAAGGGTTGGCGGGTCAGGTCAGCCAAAGACAGTCCGAAGCAAACACAAAAAAACCTCTTTGCATATGCACACACACACACACACAAACACATCTTCACAGTAGAGTCACTTGCGTTTGAATGCAGATGCATCATATGAAATTCCCCCTCTCTGACAGGTGTCTCACTGACAGGTGTCTCACTGACAGGTGTGTCTGTCAACAGTTGGCACGGAGGCCCACTTGACTGAAGAGATTTGTGCAATATCGGCAGTCTTGTCTGTCTTGTTTTATGACGAACATAATTGACCATATTTGGACAACGGCGGAGTGATGAAGAGCCGCCGTACACGTCGCTGACAGGGACCTGTCAATCGCAAGGTAGTCCCGCCCTAAAGCATTTCCCATTTTATGGTCCGTTTGACTCTCAATGGGGCCATAATTGTTATAAATGAACGTCATGGTATAATGAAGAAGACTTCAAGCTAGCAATTGAGACCATAAACTCAAGTTTACAACGTTTACAAAACGTATTTTTGCAAGCTCCCCCCGATGGCCATTAGGAAGAATGCAGGCTAGGCCTCGTCTTTTCCTCACTTTTCAGAACTGAAGGCTGCTGCCTGGCAATGCCATAGCGTTGCTCTCCTGTTTCCCAGAGAACTGCTGTCAAATGAATGATGTGTGAACCAATGAACAATGACAATGACAATGAATGAAACAATGAATTCAAAAAGGTCCGGCACTGAGCTTGTGTCACGGCAGCACGGATTCCGGAAATGTTGCCGAACTCGACTCCCGCCGCCGTGTTCTACGAGAGGATGACACGGTTGCTCGTGCAGCAGGTGGGACTTTGAGTGACAGCGAGAGGGATTATCCACCACACATCCTGCAGTGACCCGGCAGTGAGAAGAAGGCGAAGAGGGCGGTAAACAACACGAGGGTACTCGGGGTCATGAGGCCTCAAAAAAAATCCGTGTGATCGTGCAGAAGTCTGGTCGCTGCGTCAATGTACACTTCACTCTTGAAGATTTCCCTCCCTGTCTCTTTCACTTTCAGCCCCCCTCCCCTCGACTCCCACTCTCTGTCTCCCTTTTCACTCATGGCTGGCTGTTTGAGAGCACACACTCGACTGTGGGTGAGGGTGCTAGAGTGTATGACTGTCGACGCAAGGTGCAGTGTGTGTGTGTGTGTGTGTGTGTGTGTGTGTGTGTGTGTGTGTGTGGGGCTGTAGGTGGAGAGGCACAGCAGGCCGTAAAGGAGCACTGTGATAATGACAGACCATGCATTACATAACATGCAGATTGCATAAGGAGAAGATTATTCCAGGTCCAGATATCGAGGATGTATAAGTTATATTTCTGACGTGGGCGTGTTCAGCGCCGTGCACACCTCCAAGTGCAGGGCCGTGTGTTTGTGTGAAAATGTTCCGAAATGTGCTCTTTTGTCGTCTTTCGAGGAGTGTGTGGGTGTTAGTAAACTAAGTGTATTATGTGTTTGTAAGACGGGGGCATGTATGTTTTCAGATTTCCTTCATAACTCATAACTATCAAAACAAGTATGTGGGAATGTTGGCACATTTGTGTGCAGTGTGCATAAGGGTGACTGTTACTGCGAGCTCCCACTCATTGTCACTTTTAGACTTGAGAGAAAGAGGCTGATTCTCCTTTCAACGTCTGCGTCCAATGATTTCCCTCTTTGAGATGTGTGTCGAGGAAACACTTCGAAAACACGCTCCTCCGAGGGCTGAACGGGTTTTAGGAATCCCTCTCAAGCACGAGGAGCAGTAGGCGGAAAAACCGGTTGGGTCACGGGCGTAACGCTGTTCGTCATGGTGTTAAACAGCGTTTTGGTTTGTCAAACACGTCGATCGGCGTCTTTTGATCAAGCAGCGTGTCCTGGGCAAACTCTTTTCAACTGGGGGGGTGAAAGGTAAAAGCTTTAAAGTAATATTCCCATTTTGGCTTTGGGGAAAACAGGTGAAAAACACCCTAAAAGTAATAATATAACAACAGTAATTTCCAAAAATGGATTTATCCCTAAATATTATTTATTATATATCTCAGCAATACACTCACAAATGGTTCCTTCTCCAAAAGTATACGACTCAACCTTGTTTTTATTCTCAGACCCAATGAACCCATCTGTTTCTCCAGATATCTTCCCACACACTGAGTCGACGCTGAGATGTTTTGTATCCCGATTTCCTTTAGTTAAACGCAAAATTAACTTAAAAAGAACACACTGATTTACACTGCGGGCCACATCGTCACGAGGGTTTGGTCCTGCAGGATGTGGTGTGTGGAGTTCAGAGAAGCGAGGCAGAGAGCAGATATTCTCCGTGTGCTTCTCTGTGCGCATCGCTCCATGCATGAGTGTGCCCCTGTAAAAATAGACCTCTTAAAGGGCCAGCAGCCACTCAACCTTCTCCCACGAGCCCCTTCTGCTCTTCAGGCCGACGGTACTCTAAGAAACACGGGAGGGGAGAACACGAGTTGTATTTCTGTATCCCGCGAGAGGTGGAAAAATACCCACGTTCATGTGGGCGCTTCTACGATAGCAGAGTCTCAAAGCGAAAGTGCAGGTTTATTAAGTATTCCTTACAATATATACGGAATAAACTCTGATAAAGATCTGCGCTCTAAGAGCATGAAGACACAGCCTTACCTTGGCACAAATTGCCAGTCTTACACCACAAAGTGCTTCCTCCAAATCAAGGAGAAACTGCTCCTTTAGCATATGAGTCACACGTAAACACTAAATGGAACATTTTTCTTGAAGCAATCTCTCTAAGTGTCATAGGACTTCCTGAACACTGCCGCAGATTGTCCTCGTAATTTGTAATAAGTGAATTAAGTCAGCGGGGACGAACGTCTACAGCCGGAAACCCTTCCAACCTGTGAAGTGTTCCTATAGGTGCAGCCCATCACTGCGGCAGGAGGACGGAGGCCGACATATACGTAGAGAAACCATGGTCGTAATCATGTTTCTCTTCGAGCGGAGTTGGTACCAGGAGACCAACTCAGTCTTTTGACCACGTTCTGTAAAGGTGTGATGAAGGTCCACGTCCTCTCGGTAGAGTGAGAAGTTACGGAGACCTGCTGCACACCTGCCTACCCCCCCCACACCAACTTTTCATTTGCACCTTGAGTCCTGCACCCCCTCTCTGCCCATCCCTCATTTTGCACCTCTTCCAAAATGTCTCCCGCCCCCCACCCCCCCCCCTGCTG